TTTGTCCTTAAAATTGAGAACATTTTTTTTTCTCAATCAGGAGGAAAAAAAAATCCTCAAGTCTGTGAACCATTGAGATACAATAATTAGATTGTTCTCATAATGCTATGAACATGGGGCAGATTTGCTGATCCCGTCTAATAAAGCAGATCTTCATTAATAATAGTAATTATATAAAGCCTATGCAAACAGTGGGGCATGAGAGCAGTGGGTGTCTTGTGCATCATCCTGGGAGATAAGCTGGTAGGCAGCCTGGGCAGCTCCTGCAAGAAGCCAATCTCTCGTCAAGAGTCTGCCTCAGAGTGTGGTGTTAGTCAGTACTCAGTGGGGAAGCACAACCCATGAGCTGTCAGACCAAAAGGGCTTTACCCTGGGAATTGAGGGCCTGTGGAGTTGTCTCTTAGTTTGCTGGGGTTGCCATCCTGATCACCACAGACATTTTATTTCCTCACAATTCAGGAGGCCTTTCTTGGCAACAGGTGGCTGTCTTCTCCCTATTTCTTCACTATTGCCCCTCAGCCTGTGAGTTCTGTCATTGCATCCCCATTCCAGGCATAGGGAGGATACAGTGTAGAGGGGAGCACTCCATCCTTTAGGGCTTTACTTTTTAGAATGAACTCCTGCAGTACTGTACTCACACTCTGTTGGTTGAACCTAAGGCACTTGTTTTCCCTTAGCTGCAAGGGAGCCTGGGAAATGTAGTGTTTCTTCTGCAGAGCCACATATACAGCTAAACTTTTAGGAGTGTGTGTTGAAGGAAAAGGGGGAGCTGCTTCTGCTTCACCTCCATACACAGAGAAACCTCCCAGAGGTTCAGTAGTGCATTAGAGACAGAGCACCCAACCCAGCTAGGTTTCTACCCCAGAGCCTGAGCCTTCATCCATGAGGAAATCTATGCCTCCTGTTACTGCCTGCCAATGACCTTATTGGTATCTGGACTTTTTTGCTCAAGCATTGTTTCTGTAACCAGAAACACCAATGTCGGAGGGACTCAGGCTGCACATAATGCTCTAGAGAAGGAAAGGGAGAATAAGTGGCCTCAGTGTGCATTTAATCTTAGGGTAAACTGCTTTTTTCATCTAATGGTTCAATGTCTTCCACAGCCGCAGAATCGAGTGTGCCTTTCAGCACAGTTAACTCAGAAACATTGAAGAGTCCCACCATGCAGAATGGAGGTGAGGAAGGTCAAAGTGTTACAGCAGAAAACCAAAGCACCATCATTGGAACCAGTTATCCTGATGTATTTTCTGAAGGACTGAACGGTACTGAAGGGCCACCCAGAACAGTGCACAACAGAACTGGTAAGCAAGTAGGCTCTGCTTCCTAGCAGTGAATGTTTCTTATAGAAACCACCATAATTGTAGATGTCATATTTTACAAATACTGTTTTTCTTTTAATTATCTAAAATTGAAAAATGTCATAATGTTTAGTAGTGTATATTCATAACATAAATACATATCAGCAAAATGAAAGCAATAATATGTGAACTGTCCATTAGGCAGAAATAATCCCCAATAACTCCTGGTGTATTTGACAGTTTTAAGATATATGCATATATACGTATATGTAATGCATTTCTTTTACAGTGAGTTTATCATGTACCATGTAACTTTGTAATCTACTTCACTCCTACTAACCAGTTTATTATGAACATTCTTCCTTTCAGTATAAATATTTTGGGCTGGTGAGATGGCTCAGTGGATAAGGGTACTTGCTGCCAAGCTGGATGACCTGAGTTCATTTCCCCAGGACGCACATGATAGAAAGAGAAAACTGCCTCCTTCAAGTTGTCCTCTGACTTCCACATGTTTGCCCTGGCATGTGTGCATGCACACACACATACACACAGACACATACACACAGAAACATATACACTAAATGTAAATTTTTTCTTATTGCACAATTTTAGCACCTGCCTCCGATTCTGTAGGCAGATAAAGACTCTGTAAGCAGATACCAATGGCCTGTGTTCTAAAACTGACCCAGTGCATGGTTTTGTACCTAGTTTTACTGGAACACAGTGACCCCTGTTTGTGTCCTGTTTATGGCTGTTTTCATGCTAGGACTGAAAAGAAACAATGGGAAATTCATGAATTGTAAAGCTTCAGATTTTTACTGTTAGCTTAAAAAAAAAAAAAATGGACCTCTTGGCTAGATCAAAGATTCTCAAAGCATCATGCTGGGCTCCCTAGGGGTTCCCTAATTTCTTTCAAGGGCATATGAAGTGTTATTTTCATAGTAATACTAAAATGTTATTTGGTCTCTTTACTTTTATTCTCACAAGTCCACAGTTTTCCATATTCCCTATGACATGGGATGACATTGTCACCCGAATAGCTAGTAGAATGTATGCATGTGTATTCTTATGTTTAAAAATTTCCTTATTTGTAATACAATAATTAAAGCTGTATAAGCAAAAGTTTTGAGGTCCTTAATGATTTTTAAGACTGACACCAAACAGTTTAAAAGCTGCTAGTCTAGACATAAGTTATTTGGCCACTTCCTTAATATTGGACAGGTAGACTATTATAATTTTTCACAGTATTACAAAACAATAATAAAGTTCACAGAAATAGTTTAAATAAATTATTGAATTATTCCTAGGGTAATATGAGAACATTGTAGGAGTCCCTAGGGAGCTAATGTTCATTATTGTTCTTTTTAAAATTTGTGGTCCCAGCCCTGGGTGTGCCAGGATTTCAGTGCACAGTGGTGCTGGGCGTAGGCGCTATGCAGATCGACTGCTTACAATTTGCGACCTCTTTGGGGATGATATTCTCAGAGAAAAATCAGCTTAAAAAGACTGGAGAAAGCCTCTCTTCCTTCATATATGCAGACATCAGAATGTAGTCACAGGATGAAGAATAATCAGGAAAACACATCACCAGAGGGGAGAGAAAGTGCCATTGACTGACTCCAAAGAGTCATTGTCAAGGAATTCACAATAACTCCTTAGGGAAGTCCAGTGAGCTTTATGAAAGCACAGAGAAATAATTAAAAGAAATGAGCAAAGCACCAAGTGACAAAACATGAGAAATTTTCCAGAGAAACTGAAACCATAAAAACCACTTTAGGCATGGTGATGCATGCCTGTAACAGATCCCAACACTTAGAGAAGTCTGAGACATGAGGGTTGCAAGCTCCAGGGTAGCCTGGGCTTCAGAGTGAGTTTGAAACCAGGCTGGGTGACAAAGCAGGGCCCTGTCTCAAAATGGAAAGAAAGAAAAAGCAAAACAAAAACCAAATAGAACCCCCAAAGAAGCTCCACATCAGATCTTGGAGCTGGAAAATACAGTGACTGAAAGGAGCAGTGAACATCAGTAGCACAGAAGACTGAGCAGAGCAGAGTCTATGAACCCAAAGGCAGGGTATTTAGCAGTCCGAGGAGGAGAGGAAATAAAAGCAATGGAAAACAATGAAGAACACTTACAGGACTTATGGGACAACAGCAAAAGAACAGATGCTTAACTCATCAGGGTTCCAGAGGGAGAGGAGGAAAAGAGGACAGAAAGCTTGTTTGAATAATACTAGAAGAACTTTCTGAAAGAAATCCACATCTAAGTATAGGATGTACAGAGGTCTTCAATCATATTCAATCTGCACAGATACCCCTACATGTTATAATCAAACCATCGATACTAATAGGATCTTGAAAGCAGCAAGAAAAGAGAAGCAAATAAATTAGGTAGTTCAGTGTGGCTAGAAGCAGACTTCTCAGCAAAAACCATGCTGGCTAGGATATATTCAAAGAGCTGAAGTTAAAGAAAAAAAGGTCCGGGTTGTGAATTATATACTCTATCAAAGGAACCAAGCAGGCACACACAGATATTCCCTCCCATGGCTGCAAAATACACATTCTCCCCTGGACATGCACTCTCCCCTGGACATGGCACATTCTTTGGGGGTAGGGCATACATTAGTCCACAACGTGCATCTCATATAAGAATTCTGAAACCATCTCAAGTATCTTTTTCATAATTGAAGAATACTAGAGCTCAGCAGTAGCTAGAACTTCGGAAATTTAACAGATCTATGAAAACTAAACAACATGATCTTATACAACCCATAGTAATTAAACAAAAGCACTAAAAGGAAATTAAAACATTTGAGAAAAACATAAATGGAAAGATTGGGGGTTGGGAGATGGCTCCCTTGATGCTCTTGCAGAGTACCTGGCTTTGGTCACCAGCCATCCGTGTTGGGTGGCTCACAACTGCCTGTAACTCTAGTGATGCTTCTGGCCTCTTTGAGCACTCACGTGCACATACTCACACTTATACACATAGATATACATAATTGGGAAAACTTAAATCCTAAAAAAAAAGGAAAGACAGAAACACATGGCAATGGATATGGCAAAAGCAGTTATAAGAGGAAGTTTATACCAGCAAATTCCTTTAAGTCTAGCAAGTCAAATCCAACAGTACATTGGAGACCATTCACTGTGATCAAGTAAGGTTCATACTAGGGATTTACCATATGCAAATGAACAGGTGTGAGACATCTTATTAACAGGACAAGAATTAAAGATAATTAGAAAAACGTTTAGCAAAAAAAATGTGCTTGCTTTGTCGAAATTTATGACTCTATTTCCCAAAATTGCTGAGATGCTCTGTATGAGTGGGAAAAATTAGTTCTTAACAGATTTCTCCTTTGTGAAAATGGTGCCGTAGTCTTCCTTATACAGTCAAGATGGAGAGAGGAAAAAGTGCTTGTATAGTACCCAGTACTGGTCTGGGACATGGCCAGCTACCAACTTAGGGGTGCTGCTGTTCTTAATTTTTAAAAAATTTGTTGACTTTTTATGATTTTCATACTGTATAATTTGATGGTATTTAGATCGCTTTCCCTATGTGCACCTCCCTTTTCTGCCCCCGCAATTTAATATACTCTATTATATATATAATAAGGCCTATGAAGTCCAATTTGTGTCCCAAATGTCTTTTAGTGTAGGTTTAACCCCTGGAGCCTAGTTTACCTATCAAGAGTCCCATCCCTGAAGGGACTAGCTGTCCTCCTCCCAGCAGCCATTGGTTGCCAAAATTTCCTTAGTCTGTATTGTGATTTCTTACCCACTTTCCCATGTCTATGGTGGGATTTTCTCTGGTTTGAGCTTGCATGGGACTTGTGCATGCTGTCACCATTGCTGTGGGTTAATAGGAGTAACTGACCAGCTGTCTGGAGAACTCTGTTTCGTTGTGGTCATCCACCTCCTCTGGCTCTTACCATCTTTCCACCCTCTCTTCCACAATGATCCCTGAGCTTTGGGAGCAGAAATGTGATATTGGAGTCCTACTCAGGGATAAGCACTCTGCGGCCTCTTGTTCTCTGTACATTGTCCAGTTGTGGGCTTCTGTCTTAATCACCATCTGCTGCATAAGGAAACCTCTCTGGTGAGATTAAGAGATGCATTAATCATAAAGATTGGTAGTAGTTCTTAACATACATACCACATGGATGAGCCATATTATGCTGGGGTTTTCTTCATTGAGTGCTGTTCCCGTGCTGCTTCAGTGTCTTTACTCATTATTGGATGGCTACAAGTTTCAGTTTCTTGTTCTTGGAAGTATATGCTTCTATGCATCAATCCATTTATTTTAGCATGTCACTTTTTATTTTAAAAATATTTTATTTATTATTATTATTATTAATTATTATTATTATTTTGGTCTTTTTGAAACAGGGTTTTCCTGTAGCCCCAGCTGGCCTGGAACTCACTATGTAGACCAGGCTGGCCTTGAACTCACAGAGATCTGCCTGCCTCTGCCTCCCAAGTGCTGGGACTACAGGCTTGTGCCACCACGCCTGGCTCATTTATTATTTTTATGTGTATGAGTATATTGCCTGCATGTATATAAGTATACCCATGTCATGCAGTGCCTGTGGAGATCAGAAGATGGCATGAGATCCCCTAGAACTGGAGTTGTAGATGGTTGTTAGCCTTTTTGTGGGTGGTGGGATTCAAACCCGGGTCCTCTGCAAGAGCAGTCAGTGCTCTTAACTGCTGAGCCATCTCTCCAAGCCCTAGCATGTCAATTTAAAAAATTTAATTGCTCACAGTAATCTCTTAAAATGTTTTGTAATTCTGGTGAGAGTTGAGAGATAATGTCATTAGGAGTCAGTTTAGTACTATAACTTAGTAGAAAACTAGTATTAGACTCTCACCTATCCCTGTGATCTGGCTAGCCTCAGTTTCCTAAGCCTGATACCAATGTCAGATATGGGCTCCATCCTAGGAAGCAGACCTTAAATCCAATTAGAAAGTGGCTGGTTTACTCCATCATATTCATGCCACTGTTGCATTGGTGGGGCATATCTTGCCAGGCCGGTTGTTGTTGTAGTTCACAGGATTCATAGCTGGGTAAGGTTAATGATGATTTTTTCCTTCTAGTAGCATGTATGGTGCTGCTGTTCTCGCTGCCTCTCCTCCTGCCACTGTTGCCAGTTTATCATTGTCATCACCATCATCGCTGATTGAAAATGATAATCTGCATTGTGAACTTGTCACTTTATAGAGCAAACTCAGGCTTGAGAAAAGGGGTAGGGATTGTTCTTGGCAGAAAGTTTGTTGAATTTTGGGTCACAAGATTATCCTTGCATGTTCCATTTTACCTCTTGTTTTCTCTCTTCCCCATTTCTATTAATTGAATAAATATTCCATCTCCTTGTGAGCCAGGTGAGGCATCCTGACTAGTTCTTATGCTGAGAGCTGTGACCTGTAGTTCCCAAGCACCCGTATTTTATTCTGGGTGTTGCCCCTCAATCTTGATTATAACTAGGATACATTGATTTTTTTGTTTTTTGTTTTTTGTTTTTTTTCATTTTACTCTTGGTCACTGTGATGGCTTCCATTTGTTTGAGATTCTGGAATTTTACAGGTGATGAAACTGTTGTTCAGAGAGGTGAAAGGACTGAGCAAAATTAAAAGGGGACAAGCAGGTTTGAAGTCTGAACCTAGATTTTGAAATACCCTTCTTTAATGATCTTGTTTGTTTTATCATGGTGACTTAGTAATAATCCTTCACATTTAGTATGGTGCGTTATAGCTAAGACGGAGCAGTTCTAAAGGATTACTCAAGTCACTCAGCTATTGGGCAGAACAGATCTTTACAGGTAGCTTTGTGAGACTTGGGAGAAAAAGATCTAAGATTTGCATCTTAGATCTCTTTTTGTATCAGCTTATATCAAGATTTAGCCCCGGGTTCAGCTTCCAGCCACCGTGGCCAGCTTCTATTTGTTTTGTCTTCTGTTTCAAGAACACACACTGATATAAGAACGTATATGCATTTGAATGTATCTTGTGGCAGGGAAGTCTAAGGGACAAGTGAAGAGAAATGAAACTCATGAAATTCAGTTCTGGAAAGTAGACGTATATGGCAGGCTTTGCTTTTATATTTGCTACTTAAATGTAATTTTTCCTGTTTTTCTTTTTTTGACATTTAAATAGCACTGAGTCCTGTGTTTGACATTGAAGCTACTTCTGTCAGCCCAACCAGTGTGGTTTTAACATGGAAAAGTAATGACTCAGCTGCTTCAGAGTACATGTATAAAATAGAGAACAAGATGGAGAAGAAACCACTGTTTGCTGAGGGAAACCAAAAAGCATACAACATCACAGGCTTAAATCCAGCCACTTCCTACACGTTCTCCATCACTCCAGGAATAGCCAATGCAACTTGGGGAGAGCCCGTGGATATAAATGTCACAACAGGTAAGGGACAAGGATGGAAAGAGTAGGTGACTATGGCAGGAAGCCCTCCAGCCACAGGAGGTGAGTGTCCTTACTCACCTCGGAGTCCCAAGGATTGGGTTCTTCCAGAGGAGATCCACATTAGTTAGTGTGTATTGAGAACATTAATTTGTCCTCATAAAACCTGAAGGTTGTAGGTAAGAACTGTGATGTGGAGAAGTTGTTTCTTCCTTTCTTTTTTTAAAATATATATTTTTATTATTTTTATTATCTTATGTGTGTGAGTGTATTGCCTGCATGTATGTGAATGCACCCGTGTCGTGCAATGCCGAGGAGGTCAGAAGAGGGTTTTGGATTCCCTTGGAACTCGAGTTAAGGACGGTTTGTAGCCGCCATGTGGGTGCTGGGAATCAAACCTGGGTCTTCTGCAAGAGCAGTCAATGCTCTTCACCACTGAACCATCTCTCCAGCCTCAGAAGTTGTTTCTTTCAAGATCACAGAGTACTGGGCATCATGTAGTGGAACTGGAACACAGGGAGCCTGATTCTAGACCGCAAGGATACCTTGATTTAGCTATCCAGAGTCATCAAGCTGTGTAGTTTATTGGTGTTACATTCCTTAATAATGATGAAAAAGAGGGTGGGGGAATGTGACTTAGTGATAGTGTTTATCTTAGCTTGTGTGAGACTGACTGATTTAACCCCTGGCACCAGCAAAGCACAAAACCCCAAAACCACCAATTAAGACTGGCTCAGGGGTAAAGTGTTTGCTGTGCAAATGTCGGGGCTGGTGTTCAGATCCCCAGCACCCATATAGTAAATGCAGGGCGGGCATGGAAATGTCTGCCTGTAATCATAGCACATGGGAGGCAGAGACTAGATCCCTGGGGGCGGATTGATTAGTAAGATAGCCAAATTGGCAAGCTCTGGGTTCACATAAGAGACCCAGTTGGGGAAGACACCCATTGTCAAACCACTGGTCTGTGCATGTATACAGATGTGCTACCACACATGTAAAACCTCTCTCTCTCTCTCTCTCTCTCTCTCTCTCTCTCTCTCTCTCTTTCTCTCTCTCTCAACTTCCAAACCCCCAAACAAAAACCAACTAACGAAGAGTGATCTGATTTAGAGATCTTTGCACCTGAGAAGTCAGATCACAGAGTCCATCTTATTTCAGAGACGGATGCTGCTTTTGAATCATTTAGAGCAGCATCTGTGCAGTCAGCCCTCTACAGACCTGTGCATGCCCTCTGTGTTCTGGTTTCCCATTTCACAAGCTATTAGTTTGTGTTCTTGAGCAAGTCACCCTGCCTCTCTGAGCCTCCCTGTTCTCATATCAAAAAGTGAAGGGAATGATGCTGGGTGTGCTGGTGTGCACCCGTAATTCAAGTACCAGGGAGGCAGAGCAGGAGGACGGCTGCAAGTTTGAGGCCAGCCTAGGCTATGTAGCAGAACCAGTCAACCCAACAACAAAGTAGTTGTGAAAAGCACAGTGAATGGATGCCATTTTAGCTGAAATCATTAGCCAAATAAGGCAATGGACGGGCCCAGGTAGATCTTTGGGAAATGCCTGTGGCCTTGGTACAGAAGGATGTGCTCCTTCTTCAGTATCTAAAATAAAGATAATTAATGCACTGCATAAAGGATATTTTTTTTCTTAATCATTATTATTTTTTTTTAAATTTTAATAACCACATGATTAGAAGAAGCATTTCATTACAGCTTTAACATATTCAGCAACATACTCCAGAGCAAGAGTACATCTCTTTCACAAGTGGCTATAAGTTTTCTAGGTTCACAGTTGAATTAATACAGTTATACAGTATTGAACTCAGTATAAACATCTGACCTTCCTAAAACAAAGACCTCTATGGGAGGGTGCCATCTGGAAAGTGGGTGTATAGTTGAGTAAGATGGTTTGGGTTGTTCTGTGTGATACACACACACACACACACACACACACACACACATCAACAAATTAAAAAAATATTAATTTGAGAAGGAAGCATGGAAATTTACATCATGTTAATTAGTAGAGGTGATAAACATTACCATTGAAATCTACCCGATGACTTTATAGACATAAAGGATATTTTTAAGAAGAATTTCAAGTCCTTATTGGTGTTAGTTTTCTACAATATAGAGATCCTCAGCAAGTTTGGTTATGGTTTATTCCTTCTCTGTATAATGCTCACCTTCTTTCTTTCTGTGACATCATGGGAATATATTAGATTCTGACACAAATGAAGGATTTTCAGTGGGTCCCTTTGAAGCATCAGTGACTTGAAAGATGACCACAGATGCCTTATGTCTCTCATGCCCATTGTGTTTTTGAAATAGAGCCTTGGCCGGTGTCTGATCTTCGTGTTGCCTTCATGGGTGTGACGCAGGTCGCTCTCACCTGGAGCAGTGGAAATGGCACTGTGTCCTGCCGGATGCTTCTCGAAAGCTTTAGAAGCCCTAAGGAATTGACTCCACACTTGGCAGTCAATATTTCAGGTCTGAAGCCAGGGGTTCATGATACCTGGCATCTTCCAGAATCAAATGAGACACAAATTGACCCCCCAGTTACAGAAGGTGTCTTGGGTGAGTTATAAAAGCATGCATTCTGGTTTTGATTCTGTCACGTGCTAGTTTTAAACACTACTGTTCATATATTTGTGTAGGGCTTTAGAATTGATAGAGGGCTTTCCCTTCACATTTTAGTCTGCTCTCACACTGGTATGAAGAAGGAAGGAAGAGGGCACTTATTTTACAGGTGAACATGTTGGGACTCAGAGTGGCAATGGGTCTTGCAACTTTGAAGTCTGGCAACCAGAAAAGTAGATAAGCTCTTTCATTTTTTTTTTTTTTTTAAATTTTATGTGTATGCGTGTATTGCCTGCATGTGGGTCAGTGCGCCCGTGTGGTGCAATGCCTGCAGAGGTCAGAAGAGGCTGTTGGATCCCCTGGGACTGGAGTTATAGACAGTTGCTAGGTACCCTGTGGGTGCTTGGATTCGAACCCGGGTCTTCTTCAAGAACAACCAGTGCTCTTAACCACTGAGCCATCTCTCCAGCCCCTGCTCTTTCATTTTTTTCTCTCTCAGTTGAACGAATAACAAAGGGTTAACCTAAGTACGGCCATTAGAGGAACCAGTCTTTTGCACTGAGAAGAGGATCTTTAGCCGGCAGATCCAGCGTCAGGGCCATTTGTAGATTTCATAGCATTTTCAGTGGATTCCTCTGCTGACTGGACTTGATCCCCATTTAACACCAAGGAAACAGCCACAAAGTGGGTGTTAGGATTCTTGGTTGCAAGTGGCAGACGGAAACCAGATGTTACTTGCTAAGACTGAAAGAGTAATTTATGGCACATGACAGATGGTAGGGACCTTTGGGAAGAGGCAGACGACTGTCCCCTATTCTTCCTGCTTTGGTCTGTGTGTCAGCTTTCACGATTGCTATAGATCTAAACAACCTAACCACACTACTTACACACAATAGTTCACAGAGTGTCCTCTCCACACATTCCAGGAGAAATGGCCACCCTCTATTCCCATCTCATGCTCTGTCTTGGGTGTCGTTCGGGGGAAAACATTCCTGGAGTGGGGTTTGATTAGCAAAGGTGGCGTCATGGAGCTGTCTGTGGAAAACCATGTTGAGATGAGGGAAGATAACCTTCCAAAGAACAGATAGTGGTCCAGTGTAGCAGAATTGAGAGAAAAGCACAAAGTACCTCTGATGGCTCTGAGGTAATAGTATAAAGTACAATATCTGGTTCTCAGGGGATCAGATCTCTCTCAGAAGGCAGGAACAGATATTTACAGAATATCAGCTGTGGGCCCTGTTGGATGTGTTATCATATGGGATGGGGTGCTGAAAGATGGGGGGGCATGTTCTCTTGTAGTTAATGTCTTTACCTCCTGTGTTTGAAACAGACACCAACAACACTGAGAGAAGCCCAGTGGTTGGCCCACGCCTGGTACGCCGGAGCCTTGAACCTGCAGACCAATCCTCTGTCCAGGAGTCCCCAAACACAGAAGTCCTGCTCACTGGGTTAAAGCCTGGCATGCAGTACAGGGCCACTGTTTATTCTCAAGCAGCAGATGGCACAGAAGGACAGCCTGGGACCAAAGTGTTTATCACAAGTAGGTTGGATTTTGTGAAGTCATTTTAGCCAGAGTTCCCCAGCACCAAGTGTTACCTTCTGTAATTCTGAATCTGAGTTATTTATTGCTTAGCAGCTGTTGTTAGAAGGCGTATTCTGGGAGAGATTTTGGATGACTGATGCACTGGGTTTCTGCTTCCTGTGGTCATGGTGTATCTTTTGTAAAGCTCAGGAAAGCACTGAGCAGGTGCTGTGCACAGATACTGGGCACTGTCTCCTATCTGTTCTTATCTGCAGATCAGCCAGAAAGACAAACTGCTACCATAGTTCCCTCCCATAAATAAATGATAACTGGTTACTGTTTTCCCTTAAGATAAGAAAACAAGTTTTCTTTTTGGTCTGTTCTTGGAATTCATGCTGATCTTTTGTCGAGACATTTCACCAATATTTGGAGACTTTTGGGATCAATGCTGATGAAGGGGTAAGGAAATACATGGTTTCCACTCTCAGGATTTTTCCATATGAATGGAGAGTTGGAACAAATGTACATGAAAAAGCGTGCATTTGAACCCTGTGAGCTCAGGAACAGATACTGCAGCCTCATCACCCTCAAGGGCTTGGTGACCATGATGTGAACTGATTTGGGTTGTCATAGCCCAAAATATATGTTTTTGAAGGCCTCTCATAGTTCCATAGACCTGAGGGAGCAAGGCCAGAAGACAGACTGGCATCTAGGAAACTCTGGGCCACCTTTGGTGACACCCCCTAGATTCAAAGTCCCTGGAAGGAAGTGCTGCATACCTGCTTGATGGATAGCTGTGCTGGAGGAGGGAGCTGCTGTCCCTTGGCTTCCACAAGGGTGACTTACAGTGCTGTTTGAAATGGGGGTTGCTGGTGCATGGTCACCACTCACTATTGCTCCTCACCAAGTGCTATGGACATTGGAAGTTGGGAACATGATTTTAACCTGCAGTTTTGAGGGAGCACCTCACAGGGAGGATTTGAAGTCACTTGGGGTAGGGTGGGTCTTGGATAAAAGGAGAGGAGGAAGAAGGGAAGGAGGAAGAGAGATGGAGGAGGAGGCGGACACTTCAGTTAAGGAAAAACCTAGATTAGAAATGAAGTTGACAGACCCTGGGTGTGAAGGTCAAGGGCAGAGGAGCAGTGGAAGGGAGGTAGCAAAGAGGCTGTGGCTCCTCTTCAAGGCCCAAGTGAGGGACTGTGACAGATTATGGCTTGAGTAAAGAATTTCTATCTAAATATTTGTAAAGGATATCACAGGACCACCAATTCCCCTGTCCCAAAGGAGTGACTGCTTGTTCAAAAGAATGGCTGGGTAATCATCAGCAGATGACTTGGAGCAGCGAGAATCCACAGATAGGATCTGGCCAGGAGGGCTACCTTGGAGCCCAGGCCTTGGAGAATGAGGACTGGTTGTGGGCTCCCTTCCAGGTTATAGATCCTGTGTCCTTGCATGGTAGTTCACAAGAGTCCCATTTGGGCCTGTTAATAAAGACATGATTATTCATGAGGCTCTACCCTTATAACTAGTCACCTTCCAAATCTCACCTTCTAATGTAATCACTATTACTTTACTTTTTTGCTCAAAGTGCTTTAAAAAGCAGACAGCCAGAACCTACACTAACTACATGACCCCTCAGTAAATCAGGCAGATGTCCCTTCATCTGGATAGACCCAACTGGGGTGCCTGGTGAAGGGTGTAAAGGCTAAATATCCTCCCCCTTAACCCTCTTACACAAGCTTCTTGTGTATCGGACAAGCTGCCTCTACCAACAGCACCTGTGGGGGACCCAGTCTCCAGCAAGTCTTTCTTGTCCTCTAGAAAACAAGCAGAGGTGTTTTAGGATTTCAACAGGTAAATTTGGGGTAGACATGATCAGTGAATACACTGCAATACAAATGCACATATGCATTTATACACACACACGTACATGCATACCCAACACATTATCTGCTATTTTTCAGTTGGGTAGACAGATGGGGCAGGGTTAAGGAAACTATCAAGAGTGCATTTAAGCCCCAAACAAGTTGCTGGTGGAAGGCTGCCTCTAGAGCTGAAGGGTAAAGGGAAGGAGGTGGTTGGTTCTTCTGGAGTCTAGTAAGATCTGAGTTAGTGAGAAGCATAGCTGCTTAGGAGCAGAAGATGAAGGATGGAAGCCTGTCAGCTGGCCCTCAGCCACCTGCCCTTGCCACTCATTGGTACCAAGTGCTCATCAGGTGTGTGGAAGTGTGTCCCCCCCCCTCCCCCGCAGTGATACAGGGCTGATACATGCAGGGCTTAGCCTCCTGGGGCACAGAACAGGCAGGAGAAAGACAGGATGGCAGGATGGCATGGGAGGGTGGATGCCTGGCAGACACCTAGTGTTCTCATGTTTGCTTTGAGTAAGGTTAGGATAGTTATCTCTATCTTACAGATGAGAAATGGGCTCAAGTAACTTTCCTAAGGTCTACGTGACTGTTAAAAGCCCAGCTAGCCTTAGAATCCAGACATGCTCCCTGTCCAAGCATACAACTTTTAACTCCTCATGGATAATGTTTGTTCTTACATGGATCTGTGCCTAAAGACTTTTCCAGATCAGCTGCTCTCCTGTGGCAGAAAATGTGAGAGACCATGCTATTGCGTGATCTGGACTCTATTGTATCTCTCAAGGATGGGACACAAACTGCGTACAAAGCACCTGTGAGGCGTAGTAGGCCAGGCTGTGTCATCCCTGGTGTCTGATTTTGGTGGGACCCCCATGCGTGTCTAGCTATGGTGGGGTGAAGACGGTGACTAGACCCTGAGCATGCTTCTCAGGCTTGACCAAGGCAGGTCCAAAGAAGATTCTCTCCCTTTACCCCATTCTGGTTTGACCATTCTGATAATTTTTCACTCCTCTTGTGCCTTCACAGATTCTAGTCAGGTTTTTGACATCAGAGTTGTGAGCATCAGTGCCACAAACATGACCCTGACCTGGAAAAAAATGCACAATGGGTCATCCTCTTCCTATTCCTACAAGATACACGTGGCTAGAGGAACTGATTCCATCAACCAAACTACGAGTGAGACTCAGGTCGTCATCCTTGGGCTCAGCTCGAGTACCTTATATAACATTGCAGTGCGTCCTTTCCTGGGTGACATTGAGGGCACTCCTGGCTTCCTCCAAGTGTATACACGTAAGTTCATTCCTTGCCACGTGCTCTAGTTTGCTTTCTGTTGTGATAAACACCATGACCAAAAGCAACTTGGGGAGGAAAGGGTTTGTTTGATTTATACTTCCAGTTCACAGTCCATCACTGAGGGAAATCAGGGCCGGAACTGAAGCATGAGACCATGAAGAAGCAGTGCTGCTTACTGGCTTGTTCTCTACTTTGCTCTCTGGCTCATGCTCAGCTAACTTTCTTATGCAACTCAAGTCCGCTGACCCAGGGATGGTGCTGCCCACAGTAGACTGGGCCCTCCCACACTGATCATCAATTAAGGTAATTTCTCACAGCCATTGCCACAGGCTAGTCTGATCTTACTCAGTTGAGTAAGATCCTTTTTCCTAGGTAACTCTAGATTGTGTTGAGTTGGTAATAAAAACTAACCGGCTCAGTTTGGCTTACCTTTCTTGAGGTCTGCTCTGTGAAGGTACAGATACCAGGCAGGGAAGCTCTGTTCCTGCCCTGAGAAATGAGCACTGCAAGGAGTCCTTGGGGGCTCATCTGCCCTTCAGGATGTGAAGTGTAATGACAGTAATCATTGGCTGACCAAAATCACATGCCCAGTGGCTTGTGATGTAGTTATTTGTTTTTTCTTGCACTATTATTGAGTGCTCATGACATTCCTGTGGTGTGGTTGGCCTTAGTCTTATTTTATGGATGGGGAAGAAAAGTTTGAGAGGCGATATCTCACCAGGAAAATAATAGTAGACCTCTGGAGGCTTAATAACATGTTCAAGATAGAGTAGCCAGCCATGGCCAGGTTTCTACCCCATAGCCAGAGCCTTTGACTGTGGGAACCCTTACCTCTTGTCACTGCCTCTGATTGACTGGTATGATCTCTGCTCTTGTGGCCAAGTGCTCTTTCTGTAGCCAGAAGCACTAGTTTTTTTTTTTTTGTTGTTGTTTTGTTTTTTCTTTTTTTTCCTTCTGTTTGTTATTTTTATTTTATGTGTATGTTGCCTGCATGTAGGTAAGTGCACCCATGTCGTGCAGTACCCACGGGAGTCAGAAGAGGCTGTCAGATCCCCTGGAACTGGAGTTACAGACAGCTATTAGCTGCCATGTGGGTGCTGGGATTCAAACCTGGGTCTTCTGCAAGAACAACCAGTGTTCTTAACAACTGAGCCATCTCTCCAGCCCCAGAAGCACTAGTTTTTGAGGGGCTTTTATTACAGTTGATGCTCTAGAGAAGAGCAAAAGGGAGAACAAAGCAGCAATTTGTGAAAGCTGCTGGAAAAATTCCTGCCTTCTGGAGAGATATGCATTTTTATTTTTGAGAGAAGCTCTCACTATGTAGCCTAGGATGGTTTTAAATTCAGGATCTTCCTGTCCTCCAGTGGGCACATGCCACCACTGACCCAGCCTGGAGATAGAAATTCTTAATTTAATCATTCACTATCTTTCACAGCCCCTGGTCCAGTTTCCGACTTTCATGTGACACATTTCAACACAAGGGAAATTGGCTTGGCTTGGAGCAGTAATGATGCAGAATCCTTTAGGATTCTTACCATGCAGGATGGAGGTGAGAAAGGTCAAACTGTTATAACAGGAAACCAAAGCATCATCATTGGAGACTTAAAGCCTGGAACCAGATACTGTTTTGAAATATTTCCACAAGGACCTAATGGGACGGAAGGACTATCCACAACAATTTGCAGTAGTACTGGTAAGCATCCTAACACTGATGTTTCTCACAAGAAACCCGGCATAATTTGTAGATGTCATGTTTCCCAAATACTGATTTTTATTAAGACAAATCTTAAAAATATTTTATTACTCTGGTGCATATTAACAATATAAAAATATAGACAAGTAAAAAATTCACATGTAAACAATCAACTAAATTAATCACTAATATATATTTTATTTTGTTTTACATTAAAAATATTATGTGTATGTGATGAGTGTGTGTATGATGTGTGAGGTGTGTGTGTACCATGGTGTGTGTGTGGAGGTCAGAGGATGGCTCTGGGAGTTGGTTTGCTCCTTCCACCATGCTCTCTGGGAATTGAACTCAGGTCATCAGGTTTATGCAGTCGTGCCCACTGAGCCTGAGCCATTTTGTTGGCTCTCTCTCTCTCTCTCTCTCTCTCTCTCTCTCTCTCTTTCTCTCTCT